CCTACAAGTAAGGAAAAACGGAAATGAAATAATTTCACGACAAATATTCAATTGCATATTAATTACCTTTTGAATCAATGATCAGTGCTAAATTCCGGTGGTGGATCTTTACTAACCAAGGTTTTCTATTATAAGTTCTTTCAATATATTATTTTCATTGCTTTATTCGGTTATTTACTTTGATTATCACTTTCATACCAAACCCCCTTTCCATTAATTTGAGCACATACATTAAACTAGTTACTCCTCGTGGGATCGATCCTTACTCCCGCTACTACGTTTGTAAGGTTTTAATTTAGGAGCCTACGACAGCTCGCCACTTCTCTGATCTTTCTCTGAAGTGGTTCACGTTTCTTTGGGATTTTAATACTTCAAAAGTATTCTTTAATTTAATCTCATACTAGTTAGGACTAGTATTTCTCTTCTGTGAATTTTTGCATGTGATATCTCAATTTTCACGCTTACTGTCTTTAGAATTCACTTAGACTCAATCTGGCTTCAAACTTCATCCCTTACTATATTTGGCAAGTGAAATCTCATCTCATACTGTATTTGGTAAGTGAAACCTTCGCCCATTTTGAATCTCTTTTGTGGGATTGAGATCTCTGCCCAATTTGAATTTCTCCTTGCAATTGTCGCCCAATTGAAATTGCTTCTCATACTTCAGCTCTTTGACTTTGACTTGTAATTGGCACCCAAACTTCTCCTGGTTTCAATTTACACTTCAATTGCTTCCCAATTGAAACTGGTGCCCAACTTGAATTTTTATTTGACTTTGACTTTGAAACTGGTACCCATACTTCTCCTGGTTTCAATTCACATCTTAATTCAAATTGCTTCCCAATATCTCTTGTAAATCAGCATCCAACTTCAAATTGAATCCCATACTTCAATTTGCAAATCGAATCCCAACTTTGAATTGCATCCCATGTGAAATCTGCAAATTTCATACTTCAATTTGCAAATCGGCTCCCAACTTTGAATTGCATCCCATGTGAAACCAGCTCCCAACTCAAATTGCTTCCGACTTCATCTCAATTGGCACCCAAGCCAAACTAGCATCCGTACTACATCTGGCTTAATTAATTTGTATGCTTAAAGTGCGTCAGTTATTGAAACTTAAGGTGCGCCATTTTAAAACATTAGGTGCGTGGTTTGTGTTCTTAAGGTGCTTGGTTTGTGTGCTTAAGGTGCTTTGTTTGTGTGCTTAAGGTGCATAGTTTGTGTACTTAAGGTGCACCATTTAAAAACTTTAGGTGTGTGGTTTGTGTACTTAAGGTGCACCATTGTAATGCTTAAGGTGCAACAACCGCACGGGAAGTTAGACTCGCACCTGAACCCTTCCCTATATATATATATATATATATATATATATATATATATATATATATATATATATATATATATATATATATGTAGAAGGGACCAGGTGCGGGTGGTGCTTCCCATGCAGTTGCGCGGGTTGACTCACATTAAGCATTACACTGGCGCACTTTAAGTACACACCAGACATACATTAAACACATAAACAAAATACATACAGAACACAAACTCGCGCACCTTAAGCACAACCCTCACCCATCTTAAGCACAACTCTCACGCACCTTAAGCACAAAACTCACGCACCTTAAGCACAAAAACACACACACCTTAAGTTTTAACAACAACTCACATTAAGTACACACTCACTCACATTAAGTACAAAACTCATGCACCTTAAGCACAAGACTCACGCACCTTAAGCACAAAACTCACGCACATTAAGCACAAAACTCATGCCCTTTAAAGTTTCAACAACAACTAACATTAAGTATACACTCACGCACATTAAGCACAAGACTCATGCACCTTAGGCAAAAGACTCACGCACATTAAGTACAAAACTCACGCACATTAAGCATTACACACGCACGCACATTAAACACAAATCTCACGCACTTTAAGCACAAGACTCACGCACATTTAGTACAAGACTTACGCACATTAATCAGCCACACAACCACACGGGAGACATTACCCCGCACTGGAACTTATATATATATATATATATATATATATATATATATATATATATATATATATATATATATATATATATATATATATATAGTTGAATTCAAATGAGGACCACTATATTATAGAGGACTGTGCGGACTGGTGTAGTCGTGTTCCATTAGTTTGTATGTCATCCGTCGAACCTAATTTTAGTCGTGTGCCATAGTTTGTATGTCGTGTGCATAGGTTTGTTAATTAATAGAGCCTAGATTCGAAACCTGATGTTTACATGTATTCTTATGTGCCATTGTGTATTAAATTGTGTGCGTGATACTAATTTGTTGTGTGCCCGTAATCAGTTCGCACAGTGATCTATATATTATTGGTCCTCATGTGAACTCAACCCTATATATATATATAAATTAGGAGCAAGAGAACTAGTCCCGATGTGAGAACTGTGGACAAATCTCGTGCGTTCATTTTTTTTATTTGAATGACCTAGATTTGATTTCTTAAGATCACATTGATTGATCTTTATTTTAAATTGGGGTAGTAGTGTTTTTGTCTTTTTTTTCCCAAATTTTCTTAATTTAGTTTCCTATTTTCATGGAGCATCCTTGCTATAAATTGGTGTTGCAATTTCATTATCATTGATTGAGTGTTCGTCCATTAAAAGTGGTTAATATTTTGTATTTCTTTTCGCTTGTTTTTTAAGTATAATATTGTCTATATTTGAATGCCAGTGTATATTAACACATTCTTTATGATATGGTTGTGCAACCCAGTGGTGTGAGTTGTGCAATCCGTTATTGTGGATTGTGCAACTCGTGTGTGTGGGTTGTGCGACGTATTTCGATTTTATTTGTTATTCGTCTAGCTGGTGGCAAGATCACGGGACATATCAACGAGTTCAATAGACCCATACGTCCAACATGAATACTTAACGGGTCTATTGAACCCGCTGGGGAGCCTATGCTCGAATGTGTTGGTTGTGCAACCCGTTGTGGTGTGGTGTGTAACCCTGTATTATGGATTGTGCAACTCGTGGTGTAAGTTGTATGTGTAACATATTTTGATTTTATGTAATCCTCGCCCTGCTAGTTGAAGGATCACGAGACATATCAACGAGTTCAATAGACACGTTGGTTGTGCAATGGGTCTATTGAACATGTTGGGGAGCTATGTGCTTGTCTATATTGGTTGTGCAACCCGTTCTACTATGGTGTGCAACTCGTTGTTTTGTGTTGTTATTTACTAGACGCCTCATTTATTGATTTCAATGATTTGTCCTAAGTTACTAATGTTGTGCATACACCCTAATATTCTAGAATTCAGTCATAAATATGGGATCTACATGTGGTCATTGATCTTGTACCATATATGGTCCATATTAATTCACAATTTTCACATACAGACCAGTTCTCATGTGATCATGCCCCTATATATCTAAAAACATAATAAGTGTGAATGAAAGTCATACCCCTGATTCATGTTCATTTTTTCCGTTAAGTTTTTTTGTACATTATGCTATAAAGGTTGTACATTAAAAGATTTTGGACAAACATATCCCTACCGTTATAACTTCCGTTATCTTTTTCACTATTGTTACCATGCACATGCATCCACCATATATTCTTCTTATCTTCTTCATTAATAATAATATATACATATTAAATATTTGAGTTATATGTTAATTATTACATAAATATAAATATCAAATTTATAAAAATGATTTACATTATTATTATTATTATTATTATTATTATTATTATTATTATTATTATTATTATTATTATTATTATTATTATTATTTAGAATAATTTAAATATCTAAAATCTAAATAAATTTAAAATTTTAATATAATGTATTAATATTGGGTACCTATTTTTTACGCATCGCGCATAAAAAATACTAATATATATATATATATATATATATATATATATATATATATATATATATATATATATACACGGAGTACTAAATTACCAAATCTCTAAACTCTAATTTGAAATATGCATTGTTGACTTGTTTAGATTTTAAAATTTAAATTATTAGTGAAAATAAAATAATTATGTACACAAGAGAACTACAAAATGTTAAGATTTTCAAACCAAATTGAACAAAATATGGGCCAAATCAAACTCGTTCAAACTTAAAGAAATTAAAATTTGAATGTGAATGGTTAAAAAATAAAAAAAAAAATTAAAAAAATAAAAAAATAAAAAAAATAAAAAAAATAAATAAATAAACTTAGTTTGAGTTGAAACCGAAAAAATCGAATCGAAAATCCAAACACTAACCCCTTTTTTTGGGAAAAGAGTCAAATAGGCCCACGAACATTAGCTTAAAAGTCAATTAGGCCCCTAAACTTTTTAAAGGTTCAATTACACTCATCAACAATTCATTTAGGTGCAATGAAGTCCAAAAACAAGTTAATGACCTGCTATCACAGGTCATTAGGGTTGTAACACCCGGTATTTTCCTAAAATAAATTATAGCCCTGATAATAAATATTTTTAATAAAAATAATTATATAGCTATTATTTTGAAACGGGCTCGGGTCTATGAAGTATGGTGAACCAATCTTTTTGTGCCCAAATGTTTTAAGTCCAAAGATGATTTTTAGCCTAAAAGTTTAGTTGTTACCCTAAGCCCAAAATATAAGTATTTGTTATATTAGTTTTTTTTTTTAAGAAATTTGTTATATTAGTTTTGTAAGCCCAATATATATATATATATATATATATATATGTATGTATAAATAGATATATATATATATATATATATATATATATATATATATATATGTGTGTGTGTGTGTGTGTGTGTGTTGTAGCCTTGAGCCCAACCATCCAAACCTAAATAATAAGCCTACTTTATAATTATGGCTATGAGATGAGTCCAACCTTTCCCTTTTAGCCCAACCCAATCATTGGGTAACCCTACACTCTATAGTAAGTATGTATGTATCATATCATCCCTCTCCAACCTTCAATCAGTCGTGATCTTCAAACCTTGGAAACCAAACACCCCCTCCTCATCTTCTTCGCTAAACAAGCCGGCTATACCGCCTCTCTCTCGTGTCTCTCTCTCGTTCGGCTTCCCGATTACAGAGGTGAGAACCTCACCCCAAACCTTCCCCCTGTATCTCTTTTGCTCTCCTCTCCGGCGAAGTTTGAATCGTAGAAGCTCCGGCAGCAACAAACGCGAAGCAGCTATGGCGGTGGCTAGCATGGAAGTTCGGCAGAACGGTTCCGGCGAGTTTGGTCAAGCAGGCAACAACCCAGGCGAGCTCTTCTTCTCCTCCCTCCGGTTTCCGGCGTCCCCTATTCCAGTGGGCAGAGCATCTCTGGCAATGGTGGGAGGATCGTGGCAACGGCGGTGTCGGCGAAGCTCGGCAGTGGCGTTCTTCTCCTTCCGGCGTGTCCTCTCCGGCAACTCGGTGGCTCAGGTGTTCCCCGCGAGTAGATGGATGGGAGGTGGTGTCACCGTGTTCCACCCGCGGGAACGCTTCATGAAGAAGAAGAAGAAGGATGGCGTGGTGAGCAGCTTTGGCTTTGGTTGTTGTTGTTTAATTAGCTTAATTAGTTTGTTGTTTAGTATGGTTATTAATAGTTAGCTTAGTTTAGTGGTAAGATGGGTGGTTGTGTTAGTGTTTAGCCAAGGTTTGAATCCCAGGTTGCTTTTATTAAGCTAAGCCTTGTTTATTTACTAGTTTTACCTTAGCTCTTGGTATTAGCTTATCTATTAGTGTTTAATGTTGTGATTAAATTAACAATAGGATGCCTAGCCTAGATGGGTGAGCTTGTGGGTAATTTAGGGTTGAAATAGAGTTTAAATCTCCTTATAAGCCTTATTAGTTTTAACTAGTACGTTTGTTAATAGTTGAGGATCGGTTTGATTCACAGGTTCCCGATAGCTTGGTTTTATGAGTTGAGCAAATGTTAGCGTTGGTTTTGGTGGGATAAGCGAATGAGGTAACCCATGCTCTACAAAACCTATTTTTCTTACATATATGTGATTTCTTGGATTCTACATGTGTTTTGCTATGAAATGTGAGTGTTGATGCATAATCTTGTGAAAATGCATATCTAGAGCTTGTGTTTAGGGTTCTTGTGTGCCATTGCTTGGAATTTCCTTTGATTTAAGTCATTTTATTGTATTTGGTGAGATTTGGCATGTTTTGGACTTGAATCTGAGTTGGAGATGAAAAATTCGCGGAGTGTGTTTCTGTGGTACAGGATATGTACCCGCGAGCGGAACGGCGGGCGGGGCACCACCCGTCGCCCCACCCGCGGGTACGGGCCTTGTGGGAATGTGTTCCCGCGGGCGGAACCACGGGTGGGGCACTACCCGTGGGTCCACCCGCGGGTACACAAGTGTGAATGTTTGGGGATTTGTTCCCCGTGATTCTTTTTGACTCGGTATTTGGTCTTTTGACTTCCCGATGTTCTTTTGTGGAACTATTTGAGTGCCTTCTTGATGTTTCGTATGTCTAGAACTATATGGTAGGTATCCATGTAGGTTTTGGTGTCATGAATCGTGCTAAGTGTTCAACATTGTGTTTCGTTGAACCGTGATGAGTCTTGTGTGTTCTTCGGAACTATCTTTGGTTTACCCGTTTGATAAGCATGCTAGTTCGGTGTTTAAATGCTAGCGTGTGTGTTGTTTGTACCTTCCAATTGGTTGATGATAACTTGTGTTATACATCGTTGTTGTTGTTAGGCTGTGACCCATTCCTTGATTGAGTATGGTTTCATATCTTCGTTGTGATCCGTTGATTGATTCCTGTTGTGGTGTGATGTGTGTGTAGCTTTAACTGGATTGCACGATTAGTGGTATGGGACACTAGTCACCAAGGTATTGCAGCGGTCCTCGTGGTGGCCGTGACGTAATTATGGAGTTGTGGCCTTTGTGTAAGGTTCACGTGATTCTTGGGTGGCATGTGTTGCCGTGTGTGTGTACGGTACCCTCGTGTACTATGAAATTGGTGGTCTCGTTGGTGGTCGTTGGTGGGGGACGACGGTCCCAGGAGGGAAAAGGTTGGACTAAGAAGTACAGGGGTCTTGGAGGTAATGGTTGGAAAGAAGATACAAGGTTGGGGGTAGCCATAAGGTTGGAAACGGGCATAAGGAAGGCATATCAACTCATGATGGGTGATGTCACGAGGGCTTGTGTAGCCGTGGTTATGAGTTCTCTTTCTTGTGACGTGTGTAGTCACAAGGGCATGTATTGTCATTGGTCTTGTCTTTATCCTTTGTGTTGTGGTTATCCTTTGTGGTTTGGGATGTGTTCCCGTATCCTTGTTGAGAGTGTTGAGTCTTGTGTTGACTATTGATCTTGGTTTTTGAATTATATACTTATGTATTCCGTTTCGAAAATGGCTTTACAACTTATATCTTACTTATTTATGTTATTTCACATGTATTGGTGGGTTACCAGCATTATTCGTTGACTGGGCGTCGTCCCATTTCTATTTGTTACTTTACAGGTTGGGTAGCCTTAGAGAGCGCGCTAGTGGCCTGTAGATAGTGTTATCTCTTCCTGTATTAGTTGTTGAGGCCTGTGAGCCTATGTGGTAGAGTTGTTAGACTGTTGTAGTTGTAGTATCTGCTTGTGCACCTATGTTTGATTTAGGTGTGGCATAGCATCTCCCGGATTTATGTAGTTCGCTTCCGCTTCTCTTATGTTGATGTTTAGTCGGTTTATCCCTTTAAATTAAGTTTAAAAAATTGTTAAAATTCGGGGGTGTTACAGTTGGTATCAGAGCCTAGGTTTGAGCCCAGGATGTTAAGTGTTGGACCTTAAGAACCTAAGTTGAGCTTAGGTTAGTGCTCTAAGTTGAGACCTTAAGATGTTTAGTGAAGCCTTTAAGTGTTTAAGTACCTAAGTATAGGATTCTTAGGACGCGCGGTGAGGTTGTGAGTTGTCTTTTGTTATCTGTGTAGTTCTTTTATCTTGTTCTGTTGTTAGCTCTAGTAGTTTTAGTTATTGCTACCGGTTGGTGTGAACCTTCTCGGTAAGTCGACTCTTTATGAGTTCGTTGAAGACCCACCAAAGTCTGCGGCTAAAGAGTAAGAAGACCCGAAGATCTGTTGTCTCAAGATAGTCAAGTCGTGGTGGTTGCAGCTGGGCACGTGGCCAACGCAAAGAAGATGGTCTACTCTACACGCAACCAGGAGTCAGCTACGACAATCTCCGTTCAAGCAAGTGAAGCCGTCTTTCGTGCGACATTGTCATCAAGTTCTACGCTAATCCTAGAGTTGAAGTTTTCCTTTCGTGCAACCGTTGTCCGATATGAAGCAAGTTGTCGTTTAAAGTTCGAAGATCAAGTTCAGAAGACCCTCACTCGCGAGGGGAAGTCAAGAGCGGTCCCAGACGCTCTAAGAAGATGTCAACTCACGCCAAGAGGTTGTTCGTGGGTCAACGTTATAGAAGCCTCCCAGAGATAAAGATCTACGAGTCAACCTGGATCCGTTCTAAGCGCGAAAAGTTGAAGTGTATGGCCGAAGTGTCCAACATGGAAGTGATTCTACCTACCCTTGCAGAAACCAAGATCGTGAAAGTTCTAAGCAACGAACTTGGAAGTAATAAGATCAAGATGGCCATGCATGAAATGTTTGGACCTCTAAGGTACATGGAAGAGAAGAGCATCATTGTTGGCAAGTCGCCTGATCCTGTGAAACATGAAGAGGTTATGAAGTAGTTGGTGAATGAGGGTAGCGTTTATTCTTTTCGGCACACCTGGAAAAGTTATGGCTAGCATGAAGGCTTTTGGTAAGAAGTTTTATCAACAAGAAGAAATGAAGTCGTAACCGAGTTGCAAACAATCGTTGGGGCCTTCAGAAGACTAGAACCGACAAGAGCGAAGCAAAAACGGATCTGAACACTGAGTGTTCTTAAGTTGCAAGTGAGACGCGATGTCGAAGAGTCTTGGTAAAAGATCTACCTAAAATCAGGAAGGAACGAGAAGTAGCTAATCTTGTATGGGAAGTTTAAACCGTAAAAGAAAGGTCAATCAGGGATCAACCTACAGACCGATTCTACCGTTGGACCTTCATAAGTAGGACATGTTTGTGTGGCAACAAAGTTTTCAGGGAAGACTTACCGATAATCAAAACAAGAAAGGACCAAGTGGTTGTGACCGACTACCGTATGAGGATTGCAAGGTTACCAACAGTGTACAAGACTCGACTTACTGAGCTTCTAGCAAGGTTATGAGCAAATCATTGGACAAGGAACCATGTAACGTCTCCAGATGTTGACTTTGGTAAAGACTTCAGTTTACGAAAAGTTCTACCGTTTGCGTTTAGCTTAAGGTTGCAATTGAGCTCTACGTTCCAACCAGTTTTAAATGGTTAATGGGAAAGAAGCATACAGATCAAGAAGGCAAGTTGGAAACTTGCGTTATGCATTCACGAAGGCCATGGATTGTGCTCTATTAATGGATCAAGTCTATCTATCAGCGATGATTGTTGTACAAGCGATACGTGGGTGCTTTGATCTCGATGGTCTTCGGGTGCAGCAGGGAAGGAAGTTGAGTTTGTAAATCACCAAAGTCTTGGGATGGCAAGAACAGACAGCCGGGTGCACTTAAGGAATAGGAAAGCGGTGGTCAGTGTTTCGTTCGATCTTGAGCTAGCTAGTACGGACAACAAGCCGAATCTCTAAGAAGGTCAAGGAAGGTTGCTAAAAGTTTCGTTTCTGACGCAATGATGAAGACTGATGAGAGAAGCTAGTCAACTCACAGTCGCCTGGTCCGTGTGAGTTTTTGCGAGGCTATAGCAAAGTTGGAGAAGAAACCAGTGTTCGAAGTGGGGTTTGGGGTAAAGATGTTTGAGATCTCAGCTTACAAAGAGGACCCGATATAGATCTTAGTGTTAGAACGCGTCAGAATCAAGGTCGGGAACCTTCAGTTCGTCAAGAGTGCAGCGATCGAAGCGTCAAGTCGAAGAAGTCGCCTAAAGTCGAGAATCCTTAACCCTCTTTGAGCCGTTTCCCTCCCTTTCTCTCGTCAAATCTTCAACCCTTCTCGTGAAATCCGTCCTACCTTTTCGAGCCTCGTTCTTGTTTTCCTTCCTAATTTGACTCCGTACAAGGTGACAACCTCGTTTTCCTAAGTTGTAACCTTGAAAATCTTGATTTCCTTTCTAATCTACGCTATCTTTGAGCCTAAATCTAGTACCCTTCGTTAGGAAATCCTTTCAATTCTTTCAAACATCGTTCGTGACCCTTGACTTCAAACAATTCTGCGCAAGGTGGCAACCTTATTTCCTAAGTTGCAACTTTGATCACTTTGATTCCATTCCTAATTGACGTTGCCTCAAGTTTGAAACCTAACCCCTCATCCTCTTTTCTTACCAATCATCGTGTCCTTGAGTTTAAAAATCTAAACCCTTCAACCTTTCTAACCTTTCAATCCAAATATTTTCCAAAACCTAGTGTGTGTGTGTGTATATATATATATATATATATATATATATATATATATATATATATATATATATATATATATATATATATATATATATATGTAAATATTTTCCCCGTAAAACATTTTCTCTATATACTATTGTATTTTTGAAATACTCTTATCCCCAAAGTGATTTTCTAGCTTCGGGGACGAAGCTTCTTTTAAGGGGGTGAGGATGTAACACCCCCCGGTATTTTCCTAAAATAAATTATAGCCCCGATAATAAATATTTTTAATAAAAATAATTAATAGCTATTATTTTGAAACGGGCTCGGGTCTATGAAGTAAGGGGAATCAATCTTTTTGTGCCCAAATGTTTTAAGTTCAAAGATGATTTTTAGCCTAAAAGTTTAGTTGTTACCCTAAGCCCAAAATATAAGTATTTGTTATATTAGTTTTGTAAGCCCAAAATATATTTGTATGTATAAATAGATATATATATGTTGTAGCCTTGAGCCCAATTATCCAAGCCTAAATAATAAGCCTACTTTCTAATTATGGCCATGAGATGAGTCCAACCTTCCCCTTTTAGCCCAACCCAATCATTGGGTAACCCTACACTCTATAGTAAGTATGTATGTATCATATCATCCCTCTCCTATATGTGATTTCTTGGATTCTACATGTGTTTTGCTATGAAATGTGAGTGTTGATGCTTAATCTTGTGAAAATGCATATCTAGAGCTTGTGTTTAGGGTTCTTGTGTGCCATTGCTTGGCATTTCCTTTGATTCAAGTCATTTTGTTGTATTTGGTGAGATTTGGCATGTTTTGGACTTGAATTTGAGTTGGAGATGAAAAATCCGCGAAGTGTGTTTTTGTGGTACAGGACATGTACCTGCGGGCGAAACGGCGGGCGGGGCACCACCTGTCGCCCCACCCGCGGGTACGGGCATTGTGGGAATGTGTTCCCGCGGGCGGAACCACGGGTGGGGCACTACCCGTGGGTCCACCTGCGGGTACACAAGTGTGAATGTTTGGGGATTTGTTCCCCGTGATTCTTTTTGACTCGGTATTTGGTCTTTTGACTTCCCGATGTTCTTTTGTGGAACTATTTGAGTGCCTTCTTGATGTTTCGTATGTCTAGAACTATATGGTAGGTATCCATGTAGGTTTGGGTGTCATGAATCGTGCTAAGTGTTCAACATTGTGTTTCGTTGAACCGTGATGAGTCTTGTGTGTTCTTCGGAACTATCTTTGGTTTACCCGTTTGATAAGCATGCTAGTTCGGTGTTTAAATGCTAGCGTGTGTGTTGTTTGTACCTTCCGATTGGTTGATGATAACTTGTGTTATACATCGTTGTTGTTGTTGGGATGTGACCCATTCCTTGATTGAGTATGGTTTCATATCTTCGTTGTGATCCGTTGATTGATTCCTGTTGTGGTGTGACATGTGTGTGGCTTTACCTGGATTGCACGATTAGTGGTATGGGACACTAGTCACCAAGGTATTGCAGTGGTCCTCGTGGTGGCCGTGACGTGATTATGGAGTTGTGGCCTTTGTGTAAGGTTCACGTGATTCTTGGGTGGCATGTGTTGCCGTGTGTGTGTGTACGGTACCCTCGTGTACTATGAAATTGGTGGTCTCGTTGGTGGTCGTTGGTGGGGGACGACGGTCCCAGGAGGGAAAAGGTTGGACTAAGAAGTACAGGGGTCCTGGAGGTAATGGTTGGAAAGAAGATACAAGGTTGGGGGTAGCCATAAGGTTGGAACCGGGCATAAGGAAGGCATATCAACTCGTGATGGGTGATGTCACGAGGGCTTGTGTAGCCGTGGTTATGAGTTCTCTTTCTTGTGACGTGTGTAGTCACAAGGGCATGTATTGCCATTGGTCTTGTCTTTATCCTTTGTATTGTGGTTATCCTTTGTGGTTTGGGATGTGTTCCCGTATCCTTGTTGAGAGTGTTGAGTCTTGTGTTGACTATTGATCTTGGTTTTTGAATTATATACTTATGTATTCCGTTTCGAAAATGGCTTTACAACTTATATCTTACTTATTTATGTTATTTCACATGTATTGGTGGGTTACCAGCATTATTCGCTGACCAGGCATCGTCCCATTTCTATTTGTTACTTTACAGGTTGGGTAGCCTTGGAGAGCGCGCTAGTGGCCTGTAGATAGTGTTATCTCTTCCTGTATTAGTTGTTGAGGCCTGTGAGCCTATGTGGTAGAGTTGTTAGACTGTTGTAGTTGTAGTATCTGCCTGTGCGCCTATGTTTGATTTAGGTGTGGCATAGCATCTCCCGGATTTATGTAGTTCGCTTCCGCTTCTCTTATGTTGATGTTTAGTCGGCTTATCCCTTTAAATTAAGTTTTAAAAATTGTTGAAATTCGGGGGTGTTACAAGGGTTCAGGCCACCTTCCGGCGAATTTTCCAACCAAAAAAAAAAAAGGTGACCTGCAACCGACCCAGATTTGCCGAAAATTTCGCCGGTCACTTCTTTTGTTGAAAATTTCGCCGATCACTTTTTTTTTTTTGTCGAAAAATTCGCCAGAAGGTGGCTGAACCGTAATGACCTGTGATAGCAGGTCATTAATTTATTTTTGGGCTTCATTGCACTTAAATGAATTGTTGATGGGTGTAATTGCACCTTTAAAAAGTTTAGGGGCCTAATTGACTTTTAAGCTAAAGTTCGAGGACCTATTTGACCTTTTTCCCCCTTCTTTTTGAAGCCCAAATACCTACAGATGATGTTATGACCATAATGGGTTTTCAGAATGTTTCAAGGTGTTATTGTTGTGCTGGCCCCAGGTTTTGTAGCATGAAGTATGTATTTATGGAAGGGGATCTGGCTGATCAAATCTGGAGCTATTTTGCAAATGCAATGGGAATAAGAACTCAAAGAGGGGGCCTGAGATATGTTTGTCAGCAATGGCGGAATGGCAGATTCAGTAATAGAATGCTCAAGTTTATAGCAGATAGGCTGCCTATGGTGATAATCTGGGAGCTATGGGTTCAGTATACAGCAAGTAAATATGGCGGGGGGGGGGGGGGGGGGGGGGGGAGAGAGCTGTGGAAAACAAGGTGATCTTTAAAGTGGCCAAAGATATGGCTGACTGAATCCAAAGGCAATAGCCAGAATGAAACCCCTTTCCCCCTTACTGGAAGTATATTCTAAAGACAGCTGAAGGGTTCACATGTGAGAGAATTGTGAGGAAAGCAAGCTGGTGTAAACCTGCAAAGGGATGGATAAAGGTGAATTATGCAATGAATGTAAATAAGACTTGTTGTGGCTTCTTTATCAGGAACTCTAAAGGTCAATTCTGTCTGGCTGGGGTACAATCATGGGGAGACAGTGGAGATTGGAGAAGAAAGGTATCTCAGATGCTTGAAGATGGATGGGGTTGGTGTAAAAGGAAAAAGCTAGGACAGGTTATTCTGGAATATGATGACAAAGTTAGTTTTAAAGTAGCAGAAAGGCACCTGGGCATCAGATTGGTTCAAAATGAGTGTGACACAAGAATAAATTCAATGGCTAGAGGGTTAGTGAGGTGCTGTGAAGGTGAAAATGTGGTTTATAGAAGGGTGGAGGGCCTTCCTGGGTCTCTGCTGAGGCTTTTGGCCTTGGAAGGGCTTCCTCACATTGTTTTTTCTCCTGGCGCTGATTATATATGGGATCCTGGGTGAGAAGGTTGGTGTTGGTACCCAATGAGGTTACTTTGGTAGCTGAGGGGAGTCCTCTGTTCACCTAAGCTAAGGGTGACTAGGGAGGCTGATGATGAGTAAATGCAGATCCAATGATGGACTGTGAGCTGGACAGTTGCTGAGAGTGTATAGCTTGCTTGGTACTGGCAGCAGAAATGAGGTTTTAAGAATTGATCTGCTGTGTAGCTTCTATTGGTGGATCTGCAGTTTTACTGCAGAGATGAAACCAGATCTTCTTTTTTGCAGGTTGATGAATATTGCAGAACCAGCTGGAAACTTAGAAGGGGAGGAAGCTCTGAAACTCAGATGCTGATCTGCAGATTGCAGAAATGAAGCCAACAGCTTGGTTGATCTACAGATGTTTGCAGATTGGAACGCTGAAGCTGATCTACACCATATTAAGGGTAGAAGTGAAGCTTTGGTTTATGTTTCTTTGACTTTCTAGCTCTACTTGAGTCTCGTATGGGGGTTGGGGGGCTTGCTTGTCAAAGGGTATGCCCTCCTAGGTGTGGCCTCTGAGTTGGGAGTGCTTTGAATGGTGGTGATTCCTTAGGTGGAAGAAATTGGAAAAGAAATGGTGGAGAAGGAGTTTTGGATGGTGTTGAAAAAAAAAAAAAAAAGTTCTGTAAGGGATTTGGAGTGATTTGGTGAGACCATTGCTTAGGTCGGGAACTTAAAGCCCTCCCGGACTAAAACATAGTACGCTATGCCGTGAGGGTTGATCCTTGGCCTAAGGGTGACAGGGGAGGGAGCCATTGCTGGGCTCTTAAAGCTCCCCCGGGCTAAAACATAGTACGCTATGTCGTCGGGGGGTGAGCCTTGAGTGTGAGAGTGGAAGAAGGTGAGTGTCATTGCTTAAGTTGGGTCCCTTAAGTTCCCCCAGGGTTAAAACACAGTACGATGTGCCGGTAGGGATGGGGCTTTAGCTTAAGGGTGACTTAAAATGGTAGTTGGAATCATACTTGAAGGGGCATCGGTCTCATCCCTTGTGTGGGACGGGGAGCTCAATTTTGGTTATTGGTTTGGAAAAGTTTTTGTATGAAAATTGACGAATTAATGCTAGAAACAACAAGCAGAGCATATCCTTGGTGAGTTTGAGCCTTGTTGGCCTTTATATGATAGCATTTTGTACATATCTTAGCTAGTTTTGAATAAAGTAGAGCTAGGGAGTTCTTTCGATTGTGGGTGGTCACTTTTGGATCACCTATATAAGACTTGGGATTTTGTTTTATGCATTTCTTTAAAACCTTATGATTATTCACTATCTATACTATATATAAAAACAAAATCCTGAAATTTTAACTTCCAGCCCAATTCCTAAAAACTCTCTTCCTAATAAAATATATTGATTTCTACTTTCTCATTCGTACAATAATTCTGGGTTAAAATTCTATTCTAATATTATAAATTTGTGTAATACTATTCCATTCTAATCTATCTATACTATATATAAAAACAAAATCCTGGAATTTTAACTTCCAGGTCAATTCCTAAAAAATCTCTCTTCCTAATAAAATATATTGATTTCTACTTTCTCATTCGTACAATAATTCTGGGTTAAAATTCTATTCTAATATTATAAATTTGTGTAATACTATTCCTATTCTAATCTATCTATACTATATATAAAAACAAAATCCTGAAATTTTAACTTCCAGCCCAATTCCTAAAAACTCTCTTCCTAATAAAATATATTGATTTCTACTTTCTCATTCGTACAATAATTCTGGGTTAAAATTCTATTCTAATATTATAAATTTGTGTAATACTATTCCTATTCTAATCTATATATATATATATATATATATATATATATATATATATATATATATATATATATATATATATATATATATATATATATATATATATATATATATAAAACAAAATCCTGAAATTTTAACTTCCCGCCCAATTCCTAAAAAATCTCTCTTCCTAATAAAATATATTGATTTCTACTTTCTCATTCGTACAATAATTCTGGGTTAAAATTATATTCTAATATTATAAATTTGTGTAATACAATTCCTATTCTATTCTATATATATATATATATATATATATATATAAACAAAATCCTGAAATTTTAACTTCGCGCCCAATTCCTAAAAAATCTCTCTTCCTAATAAAATATATTGATTTCTACTTTCTCATTCGTACAATAATTCTGGGTTAAAATTTTATTCTAATATTAGAAAATAGTGTAATACAATTCCTATTTTAATCTATCTATACTATATATAAAAACAAAATCCTGAAATTTTAACTTCCCGCCCAATTCCTAAAAAATCTCTCTTCCTAATAAAATATATTGGTTTCTACTTTTCCATTCGTACAATAATTCTGGGTTAAAATTCTATTCTAATATTATAAATTTGTGTAATACTATTCCTATTCAAAATAATAACTATATTCGTAATAATTAATAACTATAGTCTAGGATTAAATATGGAATTGTCAGGAAAGATAAGCGGCCTCTTGTGAAATTAACTCTTAAATAAATTATATATCAGTTTAAATATTCTTAATATATTACAACAATTTTATTTCGTGCATCGCACGGGTGAAAATACTAGTTATATATTGTAATTTTTAAATTTTGTACTTGTAAAACTATTTTACATGTCGATACTATAATACAATAAAAATAATAATTATTAAACTATTGCAACTTGTTTTTTCTTTAAAAAAGGTCCAAGAAAAAAAAAAATTAGACTCCAAGCCAGAGAGATCTTTTTTTTTCACATATTAAGGAATTTTTTTTTTTTTTTGATAAACACATATTAAGGAATTTAAACTCGAATTCTCTTATTAAAAAAAAAAAAAAACATCAAATTTGTATCACTAGATTACAAAATATTTTACGGCTAAAAGATACTAGAAAGTTGAATCGGTGATCACAAATAGACTTAGACACATCATGTATTCATGTACACTTGGGAGAAAGACAATTGTTAGCCTATGAATCAGAGTTCATATTGTATTACAAATCTTGATCTAAAAATTATGTATTTGCAGTTGATACATTATGTATATGTAGTTAATAATTTTGGTATTTTAAAACAAATTAAAGACACAGCATGGTAATTGTAAATACGTAATATGATAACTACAGACACCAATTGTTAATTGCATGTACAAAATATGTTAACTGCAAACACATAAGATATTGGTTAACATTTTATGTGCCTGCAGTGTATAGGCAATTTATTTCATGGACTAGGGTCCACATAACATTATGGACCCTAGATCGAAACGACAATATACATAATTTATACTCACTCATAAGGTACAGAATTTCATACACACGAGACACAAAAAATCACAACACAAGACACATACGCATGTTATATATTTACTTATTTTTTCAAATATGATTTAAGTACATAAACTTGTGTTCATAGGCACAGAATTCCACAACACAAGACACATAAATTCATTTTTTTTTTGTCAAATCAGAACACGAGGTATCCTGAGCAGACCCTGTCTATAGGAGGCACCTTTAAGCCCGTACCATATTCAGACTAATCCCCATTCGTACTGGGTCGATCCAATTATGGGACAAAGTGCTGGCCAGATTGATTTTTCCATACAAAAAGGGGTTCAAACTCCCTACCTCACGCCAACCAACCTGGTTAGACACAGAAATTC